GAGACAAGAGTAGGGCCTCCTCCTGCAAACCTCGAACAAGGGACTCTGTTCATTTTGCCATCTCTACTTTTGGTGCCCTTCCAGTACAGCTCAGTGGGGACCCCTGGTTTGTGCAGAGACTACAGAGGTCCAATCAGCATGCCGGAGGACAGAGCCCAGCCACCCGCAGCTGAATGAGGGCTGCTCCTCCCTCCTCCGCTTTGCTAACATGGAAGGTGAATGTGAAGCCATGACCCTACATCTGTGGTTCCCTCCCACAGTTTCTGCCAGGTTCCACTGGGGTTAAACACAAAGCCCCTCCACAGGGTTGTCCTTGCTTCAGATGCCAGTCACTAGTTCTGGGTTTCTCGGGCCACTACCCACGTGCTAACCGATGGGCTGGAAGTTCGGGGGTTCCCAGCTCCCTCCAGGTTGATGGTGAACTATAAAAGGAAGAAGTCAGGAAGAGATACATGCAGACAGCTCCCCTCCCCACCCTGGGTTGTGAGTCTTGAACTCAGGGCCTGGGCACTGTCCCTGAGCCCCTTTTGCTCAAGGCAAAAGAGCTTGAGTCACAGCACCACTTCTGGCTTTTTTTTGGTGTATGTGGTAGAGAGGAATGGAACCCAGGGCTTAAAGCCACATTCCCAGCCTTAATTTTTTGAGTGGTTAATTGGAGGTAAGAGTCTCCTGAGGACTTTTTTTTGCCTGGGCTGGCTTCAAACCTCCATCCTCAAATCTCAGCCTCCTGAGGAGCTAGAATTATAGCTGTGAGCCACCAGTGCCTGGCATAGCCAGCTGTGTGTGTGTGTGTGTGTGTGTGTGTGTTGTGTGTGTGTGTGCCAATACTGGGGCCTCATGTCCTCCCTTAACTTTTTAAAAATATATTATTATTAAGGTGTTCAACAAAGGGGTTAACATTTCATTAGCCAGGTAATGAGTACATTTGTTGTTTTGGACAGTATCACCCCTTTCATGGGGTGTCATGTTACCCCTGTCATGGGGCTTGAACTCAGGGCTGAAGCACTGTCTCTGAGCTCTCTTGCTCAAGGCAAACACTCTACCACATTGAGCCACAGCACCACTTCTGGCTTTCCTGCCTAGGCTAGTTTTGAAATGTGATCCTCATACCTCAGGTTTCTGAGTAGCTAGGATTACAGAGGTGAGCCAACACACCAGCTCCCTTAGTTTTTTTTTTTTTTTTTTTTTTTTTTTGGTTGGGGCCACTAATTGCCAGGCCCTCTAACTTTCAAAATCATTTACACTGTGGACTCCTTTGCTAATTCAGGTTCTGCCCTTGTCACCTGCCAGGGAAATCAGCTTCCAGGTCAAGACCACACCCCTGCAATTGAGCCATAACTCTAGTATTGTTTTTTCAGGTAGAGACTCAACAGTTTAGTCAGGAACTGGACTCTGACCATGACCCTGCTACCGTGGCTAGGATTACAGATGTGAGCTACTGAGCTTGGCTTATGTATATATATGTGTGTGTGCTCAAGACTAGTACTCTACCACTTTAAGCCACAGTGCCATTTTTGGCTTTTTCTGGGTAGTTTATTGGCAATAAGAGTCTCAACACCTTTCCTACCTGGGCTGGCTTTGAACTGTGATCTTCAGATCTCAGTCTCCTGAGTAGCTAGGGTCACAGGCATGAGCCACCGGCACCCGGCTTCACCACACTTGTTTCTTCAGACCTCTACAAGCTGGGTGGTTCGTTGTACCCTATATACAGAAGCAGACACGCAGGCCCAGAAATGTAAAGCCAGTTGGCCAAGGATGCACAGCAAGTAGGCAGCAGAACTTGGATTCAAATCCAGATGGCCTTAGGACCCAGGCTTGCCAGCTGAGCTCCCATAATGATTCAACATTCAGGGACAGCGTGGTGTCTTTGACTAGTCCCTTGGTCATTTTCCCAGGGGGATGATGTCAGAATAAAGACTCAACCAGAAAAATGTTTGGGATGGTTGCTCCTCCACCCCTTTCCCCATGAGCCATCACAGCTGGGGGTGAGCCTGAATCCTCAGAGGGTTGCTGGGGACAACTCCATTAGTCCCAGGTGCAAGCGTTGGGGGTCTCCAATATATATTTCAGAGGATTCTATGTTGGGGGTGGGGTGGAGGCAGGATCAGACACGCTAACCCCGCCTCCATGCCCTCTCTGAGGGCTGCTGGTCCTGTCAGCTCTCAGCAGGAGAGAGGGGTCTATCCAGAAAGCCTTGGTAATTTCCTGCCCCTTAATGGGTCCTTCACCAGAGAGTGGCTTGGGTTTCCATGGCAACAGACAGCCACCAACGGCCAGAGATGGTTGAGTTTCCCACCCAGTCCCCCCCCACCACTCCCCTCAGGGCACCACCCCACACTGGCTGAACCTTGGATGCTGGAGGAGCCCAGGCAACACGGTGGGCCCCATGCTAGGAGGGCACACCTGGCACATTCAATCCTTGTCTGATCCCACCTGGTTCAGGGTTGGAGATCAACCAGCTGTTAAGGGAAGGGAAGCAGAGACTTTTGAGGAGATGCAAAAGATCAGAATTTGGATGGACACCGGATGTGATGACAGGCTGATTAATGTTTAAGTTTTCTGGCTGGATTTTTTTGGGGGGTGGAGTGGTACTGGGATTTGAACTCAGAGCCTCAAACTTACTAGGCAGGCCCTCTACCCCTCAGTCATGCCCCCAGCCCTTTTTGCTTTACTTACTTTATGGTATACAGTTTCAGTTTTGCCCAAGGTCACCCTGAGACTTGCAAACCTACCTCTGTTTCCTGTATAGCTGGGATTACAGGTACTCACTGCCACACCTGGCCTCTGTTTATCCATTTGACCATGGATTTGTGGGTCCCTGAAGGGAAGATCTGAGTTCTTGCCCAACGACCCCTGGAGCATGTAATAGGAAACACCCTGAAGACCCCTTGATACTCTGTCCACTGACCTGGACAAACTATACAATGTTCATATAGTAACAATGTATACTATTTTTTTTTTTGGTTGTGGGGCCTGAACTCGGCCTGGGCATTGTCACTCTGCTCTTCAGCTCAAGGCTAGTGCTCTACCACTTAAGCCATAGAGCCGCTTCCAGCTTTTTCTGCTTATGTGGTGCTGAGGAATCAAACCCAGAGCCTCATGCATGAGAGGCAGGCACTCTACCACTGAGCCACCTTCCCAGCCAATGTATACTATTTTATATGAATTTAATAACAATACAGTCTACCTACTGTACCTTATTTTGTATATTTTATTTTATCTGTGCTGGTATGAGGCTTGAACTCAGAGCCTGGGATCTCACAGATTTTCCTGCCCAGGGTGGCTTTGAACCATAATCCTCAGATCTCAGTCTCCTGAATAGCTAGGATGACAGGTGTGAGTCAGTGGTGCCTAGCTCTTTTTGCACATCTTATGCCTGTCATATCATTTATCATGCTATTCTTGCGTGGAAAAGCTCAGGACAGCCCTCAGACCTGAGGGACTGCCAGGTCCTGAGGGACCCCAGGACTGCCCCCTCCCTCCCCCCAAAAAAAGTAGCGCCACACAAGTAGGCAAAAAAAAAGACCATTTTGGAAGTCTTTACTTTAGTCAAACGTTACAAGGGACAGAGGAAGACAGACAGACAAGGGAGATGCCTATAAAAAGGCAGAAAACAGCCGGCTTACATAGCCAGAAGTGGGCGCGGCTTGCTTGTGCACCGCCTCAAGTCCCACCAATCACCACCTTGGTCTGCGTGGCTTCCACCAATCACAAGCCTCGCAAGGCAGTCAATCAAGCTGAGACACGGAGGAGGCGTTCCCTTTGGGCTGAGCGTACCTAGAGGTCGGGCGATCTGGAGTCGGGTTAGATTCATCAGGCCAGAAGAGAAGTTTGCTTGGGGCTGCCTTGATCCCTGTGACCGGAACAAGGCCTCGGAAAGCAGGGCTCAGGGCCTTGAGCAACAGCGGTATTCGTAGAGATCCCTGGAGCAGGCGCGGAGATCCCCGAGCAGTATTGCTCAAGGGACTGCTACATTGACAGCGGTCACAAGAGGCGGGGCTTGCGCTGTCAATCAAAGGAAGGGACGGCCAACTGTCAATCAATAGCTTGGCTCACAGAAAACAGCCAAGGGTGCTAACAATAAAGACCTAACGGGACATTCACATTCGAATCAGTACTCAGCCCACTCCAGGCCAAATACCTTTGGGCAAGTTTGGCTCTCGAATCTTGTCCCTATGATATCCCAAATATTTATAGACCAACAAATGCAAAGAATGGACGAGTGGGGAGGATTGACCCTTCTCGCCACCTGTCCCGCCAGGCCCCGCTCTGTGGTCCTCGCCTTAGGTCGCTTTTCTGCTTCTTCCGCGCGACCCCTACCGCTTGGGTGCCCGAAGCCGACTCTCGCTCCGGCCGGACTCCGAGTCCCTTCGCGTACCATCTGGGACATGTAGTCCTCCCGTCTGTAAAAGCACAGTGACAGCAAGCGGAAGTTCGCCACCAAACTTCCCTCGGTGGCACACCCTTTAGCTTGCAGCATGGCACGACGGGAATTGTAGTTCTCAGACTGCTAACTCCCGTACGCGTCAGGGACTAGCCCTCGACCTTCTGGGAATTGTAGTGACTATCTCTCCGCTGTTCTTCCCGTATCTTACAAAGCGGCTTTGAGTAAAGGACTCCATTTCCCGTCATGCCCGGTCGCACCCGCCTAGGGCGCCAGGTCACAGTGACTGAAACAACGATTCCCATCACGCGCCTTGCTCGCGGTTCGCATGGCCCGACGGGAATTGTAGTTCTCAAACCGCCTGGCTCCTGCCTTCTCAACGATTGGAACGACGATTCCCATCAAGCACCTCCCTCCCTCGCCGGGCGCAGCGGCTGTCCCTCTGCCTTATGGGAAGTGTAGTCGAGATTCCCCTCGCTGTCCTCCCCGCGTCTCACGGAGCCAGCCGCCGCCCGGAACTCCATTTCCCGTCGTGCCGTCACCCCAGCGGGGCCGCGGCGTCCATCTTGTTCCGCCCCGCGCGGCCCTTAAGATGGCAGCGGGGGGGACGGTGAAGGTTGCGGCCGGGCTGCCGGGGCGCTAGCCGCCGGGTCCCCCTCCCACCCCCCGCCCCCCGCCCCGCTCCTCCCCGGACCATGGACCTGCACACCGCCGTGTACAATGCCGCCCGCGACGGCAAGCTGCAGCTGCTGCAGAAGCTGTTGGGCGGCCGGGGCCGCGAGGAGCTGGAGGAGCTGATGGGCGCGGCGGCGGGCGGGGGCACGCCGCTGCTCATCGCCGCGCGCCGCGGCCACCTGGACGTGGTGCGCTACCTGGTGGGCGAGCACCAGGCCGACCTGGAGGTGGCCAACCGGCACGGCCACACCTGCCTCATGATCTCCTGCTACAAGGGCCACCGCGAGATCGCGCGCTACCTGCTGGAGCAGGGCGCCCGGGTGAACCGGCGCAGCGCCAAGGGCAATACGGCCCTGCACGACTGCGCCGAGTCCGGCAGCCTGGAGATCCTGCAGCTGCTGCTGGGCCGCCGGGCGCGCATGGAGCGCGACGGCTACGGCATGACCCCGCTGCTGGCCGCCAGCGTCACGGGCCACACCAACATCGTGGAGTTCCTCATCCAGGCGCAGCCGGGCCTGGAGCGCCCGCCCCGGAGCCCCGGCGGCCCGGAGGACCCGGAGGATGACGAGGAGGAGCAGCGGGACCCCGACGCCCCCTCGGTGGAGAGCTGCTGCCCCACCAGCCGCGAGGCCGCGGTGGAGGCCTTGGAGCTGCTGGGCGCCACGTACGTGGATAAGAAGCGCGATCTGCTCGGGGCCCTGAAGCACTGGCGCCGGGCGATGGAGCTGCGGCACCAGGGCGGCGAGTACCTGCCCAAGCCGCAGCCCCCGCAGCTCGTGCTGGCCTACGGCTACGCCCGCGAGGTGAGCACGGTGCAGGAGCTGGAGGCGCTCATCACCGACCCGGACGAGATGCGCATGCAGGCGCTGCTGATCCGCGAGCGCATCCTGGGCCCCTCGCACCCGGACACCTCCTACTACATCCGCTACCGCGGCGCCGTCTACGCCGACTCGGGCAACTTCCAGCGCTGCATCGGCCTGTGGAAGTACGCGCTGGACATGCAGCAGAACCACCTGGAGCCCCTGAGCCCCATGACGGCCAGCAGCTTCCTGTCGTTCGCCGAGCTCTTCTCCTACGTGCTGCAGGAGCGATCGGCCAAGGCCCCGGGCCCCGGGCCGCACGTGGGCTTCGCCGACCTCATGGGCGTGCTGGGCAAGGGCGTGCGCGAGGTGGAGCGCGCCCTGCAGCTGCCCAAGGAGCCCGGCGACGCCGGCCAGTTCGCCAAGGCGCTGGCCATCATCCTGCACCTGCTCTACCTGCTGGAGAAAGTGGAGTGCAGCCCAAGCCAGGAGCACCTCAAGCACCAGACCGTCTACCGCCTGCTCAAGTGCGCGCCCCGCGGCAAGAACGGCTTCACCCCGCTGCACATGGCCGTGGACAAGGACACCACGCACGTGGGCCGCTACCGCGTGGGCCTCTTCCCGTCCCTCGCCGTGGTCCGGGTGCTGCTGGACTGCGGCGCCGACCCGGACAGCCGCGACTTCGACAACAACACCCCGCTGCACATCGCGGCGCAGAACAACTGCCCGGCCATCATGAGCGCCCTGGTGGAGGCCGGCGCGCACCTGGACACCACCAACGCCTTCAGGAAGACGCCGCTGGAGCTGCTGGCCGGCGAGCTGCTGGCCGCCGGCGCCCTGCAGCCCTTCAACCACGTGTCCCTGCAGTGCTTGGCGGCGCGCGCGCTGCACCGGAACAAGGTGCCCTACAAGGGCTTCATCCCCGAGGACCTGGAGGCCTTCATCGAGCTGCACTGAGCCGGGGGAGGGCGTGGGGACCGCACACCGTCCCGGCCAGTCCATCGGGTGCCCCTCAGGCTGTGTCCTCCCCCAAGACCATCATCCCAGGCCAGTGTCCCCAAGCACCCAGTGGAAGTGGGGGAGTGATCCACTCATCACTGTGACAGTGGCAGGGGGGGCGTCGCGGGGCGTAAATGGCCGCCACCTCCCAGTAGCGTGCGTGGGTTTGCTGTTTGCGTAGTGAGTGGGCGAGGTGGACGGCCAGCTGCACCGAGGCCCCGCCATTTTGTTGTTGTTGTTTTGTTTTCTTTTGTTTTTCCTTTGTTTGATGGAGTGAGCATTTCTGATGGTGCCCAGTGCCCGGAATGCCAAAAGGCACCCCCCACCCCCCATGGGGTGACAGGTGAGCTACCTGGCGGTTGCTCGCCAGCCCTCCATCCGCCCTTCACGTGTGCTCAGACTCTTCTATTTATTATTATTTACGCACACCATGGCGTGGGCTTGGCTCATGAGGGAGGCCCGCCGGCCTTCCAGACCTTCCACACTCCCAGCCTTCCAGACCCTTCTATGCTCAACAGCACACGAGGCTGGAGCTGACCCGGTGGGTGTCTGTCTGGGCTCGGGTTCACATTAAAGAGCGGGTGTCTGAACAGAGCCGCCTGGTGTGTCCTTGTGCGGTTGTGGGATGAGGGGGGACCCCGTGGGTGCCTTCCACTTCCTTCACCCTGTCCCCTGGAACACCCCGATTTCCCAGGAAGGACAGGGGAGGCCGGACTTGGGGGCTCAGCTGGGTTCCAGGGCTGGCAGGACGGATTTCAGTCAAGCCCCATCTTGGCGCCACGCTAGTGCGCGTTTATTGAGCGCTGACTGCATGCATCCGGGCGCACACCAACCACGGCAGTTTGGCAAAGAAGCGGGCTGTCAAGAGATGTCAGGAGCTGGCCGAGGACAAGCAGCACGTGGACAAAGCGGAGACTCGAACCCAGGGCCGTCCCCCTCCACCGCCTGAGCTCCATCCCTACAGAGAAATCTGATGGCGGGTTGCACAACACCCCTTTGCTTCCATGTCGCCCACAGCGGACAGCCCCCCCCCATGCTCTGCCAGGACACTGACCTCTGACCCCAAGCAAAGCTACGAGGAAAGATCTAGACCGAGTGCTCTTTTAAAGTTCAAGCAGACACCAGTGGCTCATGCCTGTAATCTCAGCTACTCAGGAAACAAATCTGAGGATGAAGATTTGAAGCCACACTAAGCAGAAAAGTCCACGAGACTCTTATCTCCATGTAAGCACCAAAAAGTCGGAAGCAGAGCTGTGGCTCAAGTGGTAGAGCACCCACCTTGAGCAATAAAGCACAGTGTGCCTAGGCCCTGAATTCAAGCACAAAGAAAAGAAAAAGGTAAGCCTCATCCCTCCCGATGAGGCCATCAGCCGGCCTAAGCAGGTGTCAGGGGTCAGGCTGGTCCCGGGAGACAGGGGCTATAGTGTGACACACAGAGAATCGCAGGATCCTCTTCACGTCTCCCTTCCAGAGAGCGCCTGGGCACCGCACCTGGACCCACCAGAACTTAGGCAGCTGACTGGAAGAGGCTGGCGGCGGCCGGATCAAATTACAAATGTGGCTCAGTGGGGGAGGCCCAGCACCACGGGGGCGGGGGGGGGGGTGGCCTGAGCTCACAGTGCACCCATCAATGCTGCCTGCAGCCATACGGTTGATCAGTGGGGAAACCAGGCTCCAAGATGCCAAGTGGCCATCTTAATCCACACAGCCGGGAGGACCAAGTTATTTACACTGGGCGACGGGCTGGAAGGGCGTCCTGTGGCCCCAGGCCACCCATGTGGGGTTCCCAGGATGGAGTCAGGGTTTATTTTGTCAGGCAGACCACCCCCATCGAGGGAGGGAGCCAGAGCCTCCCGCTCCCCGCGCCGCTGTCCAGGCTGGCTGCCCTTTGCCTTTCCAGAACCCTATGGCGGTCTGAGTGCACCCCAGTCTTGGGCCTGACCTGTACCCCAAGCTCCCTAATCAGGAAGAGAGGCAGGGAAAACCAGGTGAGCAAATGAAGGCCGCTGTCCCACATAAGGCCTTCTAGTGGGGGGTGGGGTCCTGTCCCTGCTAAAGATAGCCAGGGATGGCGGGCGGAGTGTGACCCGAGGCCCAAACATGGGCTGGGAACAAGAGGGGGGGGCTGTCCCCCCAACCTAGCACCTGTCACCATCCCCAGGAGAGAAGTCAAGACCTGGGCGCTGGATCCCAGGACCACTGCTCACTGCCCGCCTCATCACTCCACCCCGCCCGCCAGGGCCAGCCAGCCGTCCACACCCCCACCCGCCAGGGCCGGCCGTCCACGCCCACCCGTGCCTCGTTGGGTGTCCACAGATTCCTGCCTCCCGTGTTAGCCCCAAAAAGATGAGAGACATTTAAAAGAGCACATAGAGCCGGGCGCTGGTGGCTCACGCCTGTCATCCTAGCTACTCAGGAGGCTGAGATCTGAGGATCGCGGTTCAAAGCCAGCCCAGGCAGGAAAGTTCGTGAGACTCTCATTTCCAATGAACCACCAGAAAACTGGAAGTGGTGCTGTGGCTCAAGTGGTAGAGCACTAGCCTTGAGCTGAAGAGCTAAGGGACAGCACCCAGGCCCAGAGTTCAAGCACCATGACCACCACCAACAACAAAGAAAGCACTTAGAATCTTTCAGGCAAGATGCATTCCCATGCCAGGAAACTTTTTCCTCTGTGTAGCCCAGGCTGGCCTAGCACTCCTAACGCTGCTGCCTCAGCCTCCCGAGAGCCGAAATTACAGGCATGAACCACCATACTCGGCTAACATGCATCCTTTCTGTGTGGGAAAGCACTGCTGACAGACCCCAGAGTGCAGCCCAGCCCTGTTGGAGACACTGAGGCCCTGAGAGGGACAGGGACAAGCAGAGGGCGCACCAAGTGCCCAGCCCGAGGGTCCGAGTGTGAGGGGCACCGATGGACAGGCAGGGATCAGCCCAGGGAAGAGAGCGGGGGCCAGGTCCCAGGAAATACTTCAGTTCCCCTGGAAACCGGACCCCGCTGCAGCCACGTCCCCGGGCTATAAAAAGGCCTGGCCACGGGTCAGGTTAAAAATAAAGAGCCCCACCCGGGCGCTTGGTGGCATCTGAGAGTCACAGGAGTCACAGGTCACCAGGGTCACGTCCGCCCAGGCCAGCACTCCCTGCCTGACCCGACAGCGTCCGCCCTCTCTGGGCTCCAGGGTGTCCCTGAGCCACTCCCAGGGGTCGAGCTCTGCCCTCTCTCCTTGGGCCATTTGAGTCTTCGGTCTGCTGACACTGACCCGCGGTGCCTCAGTTTCCCCTGCCTGCACAGCAGGGAAACCCACCGTGGGAATCCCTCAGTGCGGGGAGGGGGGATTTCCATGGCTGTCGTCTCTGGTCACTGACCGGGGTGGGAGTCATAAGTGGGGAGCAGGCTTGCATGGCTGGGACCTGCTGCACTTTGGAGTCCCCCAAACCCATTCTCCCCACAGCCCTGGGCAGGGCCGAGGCTGGCGCTGCTGCCCCCTGGTGGTCACCCTGGATCACTGCAGCCCCTTGGGCAGCCAAAATGGGTGTGTGTGTGTGTAATGGCCACTGGGGGTTTGAAGCAGTGTGCTCAGGGGAACCCCCAGTGAGAGCAGGGTTCCTGGGGGACGTGGAGAGAGCCAGGCAGGACCTGGAGGAGGAACAATCCAGACAGTGGGTCCCGCACAGACCCTGGGGCAGCACGGAGCATGGCGGCTGTGGAAGGATGTTAGAATTGCGGGAGGCCTCCAGGACAGAGGGGGCCCGGAGGGTCTCTGTGAGGTCCCTGCTGGGGCCACTTAGGCCTGCGCAGCTTTAGTGCCTCCCTCCTCCTTCTAGACACCCCTCCTATCTCCTGAGCAAGGCCAGGCCCTGATGGCTTTGGGCCTCAGGGTCAGAATGACCCTGGCAAGGCCCAGCAGAGCCCCAGGCCTGGAAAGGGCGGGTGGGGAGGGGAGGGGAGTTGAGGATCAGTTGGCTCTTGCTCACTGCTCAGTGGTCACCTGCAGACTCCACGTTTGCCTGGGTGTGTGTGCGGAATGGATGTGTGTAAGCACACACACGTCTTGGGTTTTGGTTTTTGCTGGCACTGGCCCTCAGCTCCAGTTCAAGGCGAGCGCTCTACCACTTGAACCACAGTACCACTTCCGATCTTCTGGTGGTTTATTGGAGATCAGAGACTCACGGACTTTCCTTGCCTGGGCTGGCTTTGAACCGTGATGCTCAGATCTCAGCCTCCAGAGTAGCTAGGATGACAGGCGTGAGCCACCAGCACCTGGTTTGAACTCAGGATTCATGTTCTCTCAACGTTTTCATTCAAGGTTGGCTAGTGTTCTATCACTTGAACCACAGCTCCACCTGCAGCTAGGGTGTGGCTCAGGAGTGAGCCTTGCCCAGCACGAGGGTGCTCCCATTCATCCCAAGCGCGCGCGCACACACACACACACACACACACACACACATTTTTAGATGGGACTGGGTCCACAGGTCGTATAGCCTTCCTTTGCTCCCAAAGCTGTATGACCTTGAAGAAGGGACTGTACCTCTCTGGGCCTCAGTCTCCTCAATACACTGATGGCTCAGTGCTAGACCCCCGGGGCTCCCCCAGGAAGCAGGCTCGTGGGCCTGGGCGTTTCCCATTGCATTTTTGTGGATGTCGGGGCGCAGCTGTGACCTGCTCCACATGGATGAGGTGGTGTGGGCACGGAGACCTGGCTCTCCCCAAAGCCCAGCGCCGGCCCCAGGTGGCCAGGCTCCTCCCACCTCCTCTACCTGGCCCCCCCCATGCTGTCCTCCCAGACATAACCACCAGAGGGCGTCCGGTCCCTCCCTTCTCTGCCCACTGCCCTCCACAGCTGTTCCCTCCTCTCTCAGGGTCAAAGCCTCAGGGTGCTGCAGGGACTCACCCAACCCGCCCCCTCCCCGCCCCCTCCTCCCTCTCCGCTCTGGCTCATGGCTCCTCCAACAGGCCAGACTCCATCCAGCCCCGGGGCCTTGGCATGTGCCCTGGCTTTACCCATGGCCAGCCCCTCTTCCTCTAGGTCCAGATTCTGATCAATACCAGCCCTTCGGCCCCCACCAAAATCCTCCCTTTTGGGACATGGGGACGTTCCCTACCACGCCCCCGCTTTGATTTTGTGGAAGTCTCTTCCCCACCCCACCCTTTCCTCTTGAATTTGTGACACTGTCCAGCCCAGGCTGGCCTGGAACTCACAAGTCTCCTGCCTTGACTACCCACCACTGCTGAGATTACAAGCACGCACCACCACACCTGGCCCTTGTTCCCTCCATTCTAGCCCAAGGAGCAGAGCACCAGTCCTGCCTGAGATAAATGTGGCACACAGCTGGCGCTTAATACATGCCGGTCCAGGGCAGCCACGGCCAGCCCAGGCCACCTCTCTGATCGAAGGTCAGCCACAGCCAGCCTGGCCCCGCCCTCGACCTGAGCTATGGTGCTCCGGGTGTCACTTACGGGGCTGCCAAGGGGGAGAAGGTGAGATCAGGTGCTGTTCAGACACTGAAGGAGAAAGTGGCACCGCTGAGGGTGACTCGCGCGCCTCTGCCCTCCTGTGGCCACCAGGGGGGGGCGGTGAGCCCAAGGCCGGGCAGTG